CCCATAGTGTTTTAATTTTAATGGTGATATATTTCAAGTTGAGAAGCACAGAAATGCTCTGTTCTTTCTTAAACATTTCTGTTATTTTTCACAGATATTTCTTCCTTTATGGTTATTATATCCCTTTACATCTCTAGATATTTCAAACATGTTTATTTTATAGTTTCAGGTTTTTATTCACTTTTGGGGGATGCTAGTATGCATGTCTAACATGTACTGTTGTGGCATGCACTGTCTTCTGGGTGAGTCTCCTGGATACTGGCTTATGGAAAGGGTAGTTTCAGCATTTATCATTGTCATAGGTATAAGCATTTCGCTTGTTCTGGAGAAGTTTCTATGCTCATTTCATAGCTGAAATGCTTTTTGCAAGACTCACATAGTTTAAATCCAGGTTCCACATGTGAGGTGGTACAGGTCTGGGTTTCTTACTTCTTCCTGCTACCTCGCCATGCTGGCTGGCTGGCTTTTATTGCCCTTGTCGGTAGACAGTGGAAGTGTTGTCAGAGCTGTGGTGCTCTATTTCAAACCCCTGCTGTGCTGGAGTGTAATTTCTTACCACCGTTTCCATTTGTGTTCTCGTGCCCACCCCTAAAGCATTTATCTACTTTCTGCATCCAGTAGGCCAATGAGAGCATCACCTCTGGGTTAAACCTCCCTGTCTAGGAATTCTGGTTTTGCACTTAAAAAGAATTCTTTAGAGTTTGGCTATGTGTTTAAGACTTTTTTTAAATGCAGAACTTCTGTGTATTTAGAGCAAAAGGAAAAAAATGGCTCAGTGCAGTTCTACCATTGTGATTGCTAACTACAGCTTCTTAAAGGCAAGATCCGGGCCTACCTAACCTTTTGAACGTCAAAATGAATGAGATAGACACGTGCTACGCGTCAGTCTTTGCTCAGTAAATATTTCACGAATCCACGAGAAAGACAAGGAAAGAGAGCAAGAACAACAGAAGGAACTGAAGATGTACAGATTCGCATACGATGAGGATGGTAAAGGAATACCCGCAATTTACAAAAATCACGCAAGGTTATCAAGTGGCCAAAAAATTAGATATGGCAATTTGTCAAGTTTAAAAAGTTCCCAGAAAAAGAGAGAGATTCAGATTATAACTTGGGGTAAAGAGGATGTCTGAGGAATATAACACAACCCACACTCAACACTGCAGTTTTACAAGTGCTCTCAGACACATTTAATTCCTTAAGTTGGCACCCGTGGCTTTGCCACAGCAGGGCCCAGAGGTGCAAGGCCCATCAGCCCTCCACTGTGCTGGCTTTATGATCTGGTAATCATGTCACTTCTGTGACTCAGGCTTAGCCGTATGTGAAACTGAAATAGTAACAATAATTCCAATCTCACCAGAATGCCGGAACCAAGTACATGAAAAT